GGACCATCTATGAGAAACGGTTCCCTTACCAGACACCAAATCTGCCAGCACTTTGATCTTGGACTTCCCACCTTCCAGAACTGTCAGAAACTGGCCAGGCACAATGGCTCACATCTGTAATCCCAGCACTTTGGGAGGACGAGGCAGGAGGATCACCTGAAGTCAGGAGGACCTAGGGGAGTTTGTCTAAACACTTCTCGAGTCATTTTAGTAGGACAAACCAAATAAAATGGTGCTAAAGGCAAACATTCAATATATTTCATTTTAAACTAAAAAATTAACATATAAAATGTCATGCAGAGCAGACACCATTCTTTTTTTACATATTTACAATTTTACATATTTACTTATCAATATAATTTCTATCTTTACAATTATAAAATTATTTCGAACTGTGGAAAAGTGGTACCATTTAATTTCCTTGAACATACACTTTGTAGCATTCGTTTTGTCCTTTGAAAGGCAATTATTTTCCAAACCACAGTGAATGCCAGAGGAAGCACATAGGAAAATCATGGAGGGAAAAAAGATTGAGACAAAATCTGCACACAAGCCTTAAATGAATCTGTATCAGTAACTCAAATAAATAGTATTTTATTATTAACTAAGCTTCCCCTGCTAGGAAAAACAAAACAAAACCAATCCCATATACTGTACCCTTTAAAATTGTCTGGACATTTATAGCGAATTTAGGTTACATTCTAGATACCCAATCAGTTGGATGTAGTAGAAGGGTACTATGAACTTTAGACTCAAATAAATAATCTCCATGTAAACTGTGATCATCCTGCACAAATTGAGTTGCAGTGGTGAGGAAGTTTATCATTTTCAATTTTGTTTTTCAGAGTCAATAGCTGCTAACGGTGTTGATTTGGAGGTTTAATTTCCAGCGGATGGTATTTCTCAACCAATGTCTTTGAACTTCTCTTGTAAGTTCCATCTGTCCAATTCTATGAGGTCTTTTTCCAGTTTCTTGGGCTTCATTCACGATCTTCTTGTGTGTTCCATCAACTGAGACAGGAGATCCAAGTTCTTATACATTTGCTTGGAGCCTAAGGCAGAGCATCAGAGAGACCAACTCTCAGCTTCTTGCTTCCTGGGAGAGGTCTGGCCAGACATGGGTAGCGATCAAAATCTCGCTGACTTATACATTCAAAGCTGGCGTCTAACGTTGCTCAATGAAGCCCAACGGCACCAGCACTACAAGAACGAGGACGTTAATTACATCATCACTTAGGACAAGCTACCATACTCCAATCGATTTGTAAAAATTTTTGATCCAGAGGAATTTAAAAGATCGAAGGCAAAGTAAAAAACAAACTCATCGAACGTTCCCGTGTAGATCTCCAGCCTAAAAAATTACCTACTCCTATCCCGGTCATGCTTCCTGTCACTCCCCAGGAGGCTCCTGGGCCAATGTCTGGGTGCAGCCTCCCCAGGTGCACCATGAAGCCATTCTGTCTGAGTCTTCCCAGACCTGCTATCCCCACCCAGGATATAGTCCCCGAGTGGGTGTGGTTCAAGACACTGGTATGGCACACGGATCTCTGATCCTCAAATAAATATTTTAACATCAAGTGGTTAAAAGAACAGCTCTGAAGCAACAGAACCTGAGTTGACTGTCACCTCTTTCACTTAACAACAACAGTGAGTGACCCTGGGAAAGTTACTTAAGCTCTCTGAGGTTTCTGTACCTGTAAATGGGGGGAAATACCATTCAGATTTATTGTGAGAATTAACAACATAACACATGTCACGGGCTTCCAAGAGGCCTGCAGTGAGCAATGAATACATGGTAGCAATTACTAGTACAGAAATACCACTGCAAATGCCCAATTCAACAGACATCTGAGCCGGGTGTGTTGGGTCATGCTTATAATCCCAGCACTTTGGGAGGCCGAGGTGGGAGGATTGCTTGAGACCAGCCTGGGCAACGGTCGGGATAGAAACCTCACCTCTAGAGAAAAGGAATAAAGAAAAAGAAAAATGTGATTCATCCGAGGAGAACGGAAGCGCACGCCCATCTGGCTCATGGTGTGTGTGGAGCTGCTGTGGCCCCTGTGACTGGAGAGAGGAGGTGATTCTAACTCCTCACTTAGGTGAATGGAGACGTGGCATGGCCACTAACAGAAATAAAGAATACTGGAAAAGAAACAAACATCTGAAGGGGACGTAGCTCTAAACAAATTATATTTGAGGTGCGATACAAGTGTGAGGTCAAGACAGGTGACACAGAGCTGTGGGTCATCACTGCACAGGTGAGTGACAGCTCTTTGACAGAGGAGATGGTGCAGGAAGAGATGCAGAGACGATGGAGTCCCAGGGAATGACACACTTCAAGGTGGAAGTAGAAGACACAGACTTTACAAAGAGACAAGGAAGTAGTGGGATTGTGGAAGCCAAGGAACAACACAAGTTGCAGAACAAAGGACTCATAGAAGTGCTATGAGAAGCGAAGGAAGATCTGTTGGTGATAATAAAGTTGATATGTAAAATATTCTATTAATATCTGCACTAACACTGAACTGTGTTAGTTTCAAATAATTGATAATGTAATGCCACCAATGCTTCATGATGACAAACTGACATTCAAAGGAGAAATACAAACTCTGTTTGTAGAAGATGCTCAATTACTTGAATACATGGCTTTTCATTTTCAGAACCTGATAGAGGACCAACCCAGAATGTCTGTATTTAAGGATTTAACCCACAGAGTTTCAGATAAAATGCTGCTGCTAAAATACTAAATACAAGATTATGTTTGCTGTGGTAAGAGCAATGGTAGAAAGTATTCAACAAAGCACACCAAACAAAAGGGATTTTACCATTTTTTTTTTAACATGTGATAAGATTATCTGAGGCAACAGCTTCCTAATTATGATTTCCTTAGGTTACTAAATCGAGTGCCCGCGGGGTTTGTCAGCTGGAAACTTTCTACTTTTGCCAGAGCAGTTTCATTGGAGCAGTGGGTGTAGGGGACGAGACAGACTCTGAGTCAGGGCAAGAAGAGGATGAAGAGGGAAGGCACAAATGTACTTAAGGCTGCAGGCCAAGGGCCCTAGAAGCTGCTGTGTGTGTGTGAGCCAGCCACCTCTACTGTCAGTTGACTGTGGCTATGCTCGAATGCATCCTGGTCCTCCTTCACTTCTCTCACTATCTGCCATGTCTCCACCTTCACACTTCTCAGGGACTTCCAAGTTGTCTGACCCACTCTGGATAAAGAGCTGAATCCAAAAGGCTCTTCCCTCGCAAGCAAGTGTATGTTTCATTTATATTAAGAAATACAAGGCCAGGTGTGGTGGCTCATGCCTGTAATCCCAGCACTGTGGGAGACGGAGGTGGGTGGACTGCTTGAGGCCAGGAATTCAAGACCAGCCTGGCTAACAAGGTGAAACTCTGTCTCTACTAAAAATACAAACATCAACCAGGCATGGTGGCACATGCCTGTAATCCCAGCTACATGGGAGGCTGAAGCATGAGAATCGCTTGAACCCGGGAGGCGGAGGTTACAATGAGCTGAGATCACGTCTTTGTATTCCAGCCTGGGCAACAGAGACACTCCATCTCAAAATAAAAAAGATATATGAGTACCTCTAATCTCATTCTACATGGGCCACTTAAACTTTTTTAGTACTACGGATTAAACCACCATGCACCTGGGAGGATGGAAAACAGTGTGAATAAAGGTGAAAGCATCTGATCAAGAGCATTCCCAAGTCCCTCCACCTGCAAATCACCCTCCCGAGATGCTGGTGACTAGAGTGACACATAGCTGAACACAATGGTGGAGGGTGATGAGTGATGGGGGCAGGTCCAGGTTTGGAGGAACCTGAGGCTTCTACAACTTTTGGAATCTACTTACAGGAAAAGGAAAAAAAGTGACAAATACAAAAGTAGGTATAAATGTGAATACATACTTAGAATCTAGAAATAAATCATGACATATTTCTAGAGATTCATGTACCTGTTTTGAGACATTTTTTGGCAATTTATCAAAAATGCTCCCTATGCATCCTGGCTTCCCCTCCCCATCTCTTAGTTCCTAGGCTTTCAACACAAAAAACCAAGTCCATAAGCTGCCCCAAGGATCCAAATTCATTAGCTTCACAATATATTCAGTTGAAAGCAAATAAGCAGAGTTTACTAGGAAGAAAAAGAAAGAATTCAGGTCAGGAGCAGTGGCTCATACCTGCAATTCCAGCTCTTACGGAGGCTGAGGTGGGCGGACTGCTTGAGCCCAGGAGTATGAGACCAGCCTGGGCAACACAGTGAGACCCCATCTCTAAAAAAAAAAAAATTATCCCAGTGTGATGGTGCATGCCTGTGGTACCAGCTACACAGCAGGCTGAGGTGAGAGGATTGCTTGAGCCTGGAGGTCAAGGCTGCAGTGAGCTACGATTGTATCACAGCACTCCAGCCTGGGTGACAGAGTGAGACTCTGTAGAAAAAAAAAAATCGTAAATAAAAGAAAAAAAAAGGTGGGAAGTATTCAGCCTTATTAACTGATACATAATTAGATACTGTCTTGCCTATAATCAATAACCACTGTAACAACATAATACTTGAAAATCATTTCACATCCTCTGAACTGACCTGTAAAAAAAAATCTCAGTATTCAATTCTTAGAACTTGAGAAATAAAACAAAAAAAAATCAATCTTAGATCCTCTATAAAAATGAATTAAAGTGCAAGATTTGCCTTCTTCATGGTTGAAGAGGTCCAGCCAAGTGAAGGACTCTTCTACCCAGGACCGTGGGGAGTGATGCCCAACGCATGTCATCTGTTTCTGTAGGACAAACACAAGCTCTGACCAAGTGCTGGGAGGCAAAGTGTCTGTATCACCTGGTCCTTGTGCTCCCTGACACACAGTGAGCTTCCTCAGCCATGCTGCCTTCTCAAACAGGAGCATTTACCTGTCACAGGCCTGAGTCACCTGTCACATCCCCAAAACCACCACCTTCCTAGTCCTTCTCTACAACACCAAGAACTCACTTACTCACCAGATTGGTGAAATAGTAGCCATCCTCTCCAGTCATCAGTCGGCTTGGATTGCAGAAGCGTGTGATATACTGGATATTAGACTGAAGGCGTGGGGGGTTGCCCTTCAAAACGATGTAGATGAGGGTGGGGAGGAAGTCATCTGCTGACGCCGGCTCGTTCTTGGTGATCTTGATGGCACTGAAGATGTGCTTGCTGCACTTGGTGATGCAGGCCAACTTGTCTCGAGGCACACGCTTGGAATCCATTTCAATGATATCTACAAAGCAGAAAAGACAATATTTCCCATGAAAAAAGAATCACAGAAAAGAAGCAATAGGAAAATCATGTTTTATCTCTAAAGTTATGAAGGAATCCTCACTAACCCCCTTTCCAGGAGTTAACTTAGTGTATACGTGACTTACTAAATATGATCTCATACAGAAAACAGAAACAAGAGCCAGATACTACACAGTGTGCCCTACAAGCACATTTCTCTAATCCTCAGATTATGCAATGGATACTCATATTTTTTTCTTTTTCTTTTTTTTTGAGATGGAGTTTCACTCTTTGTTGCCCAGGCTGGAGTGCAGTGGCCTGATCTCTGCTCACTGCAACTTCCGCCTCCCAGATTCAAGCGATTCTCCTGCCTCAGCCTTTCAAGTAGCTGAGATTACAGGTGCCCACCACCATGCCCAGCTAATTTTTGTATTTTTAGTACAGACAGTGTTTCACCATGTTGGCCAGGCTGGTCTTGAACTCTTCACCCCAGGTGACCTGCCCGCCTTGGCCTCCCAAAGTCCTGGGATTACAGGCGTAAGCCACTGCGCCTGGCCAAGCCCACACTTCTAATCACAATGTAAGCTGCCTCTGAGCTCCATGGAGAAGGAAGAAGTTGTCTGATAATCTTTTTATTGCTTCTGTGCTTCTGTTACATTTTAGAATGTTTTCGACAATCTCAGTTTGCATACCGCTTTTTAGAAATGTGGCTACCACACAAAGCATCTTTCTACTGGATGTGAGAATATAAAAATCAGCCGGTGTAGGTGTGCATGGCTGTAGTCCCAACTACTCTGAGTTGGCTGAGGCAGGAGACTGGCTTGAGCCCGAGAGGTTGAGGCTGCAGTGAGCTACGATCACACCACTGCACTCCAGCCTGGGAAAGAGTAAAATCATGTATCCCCCCCCAAAAAAAAAAAAAAAAACCAAAGCGAAAAAATAAATTTAAAGGGAAGTGTTCTCAGATAGGTATTTCTAAGGCGAGCCCCAAAAAAAAAAAAAAAAAAAACCTATTGTCGCCGCTGGCTGAGCGTGCTGGGCCGGCCCCGCTGTGGGGCCGCGCGGGGACGGGCGCGGGGACAGAGCCCGGGCGCCCATGGCCTGGGCCGACGCGGCTGAGCGGGCCTGCGTGCCTACCCCCGGCGCTGGCGCCCAGCACCGAGGGGCTGCCGCTCGCCTTCCTGCAGAGCCTGCGCACCCTGTTGGACATCCTGCACTACCGGCGGCGCGGCTTGCGTGCACCTGCGCGAGATCCAGTCCCGCTGGCAGGGCGCCAACGCGCAGGACCTGCCCCGCGGGATGCTGGAGGGCCTGCGCCAGGTGGCTACGGCCGGCGGCTACCTAACCTTCGGGCGCTTTGTGGCTGGCCTGCGCACCTCGCTGCTGAGCGCCAACTGCGGCCCCCGGGACCCCACGTGCGCCCCAGCCCGGCCTGGGGTTTGCGCTGGACAACGAGCCACGGATGGTCCTGGAGAAGCCCCTGCCCAGGTCCAGGTGGCGCGGCCCACAGCCCGGAGCAGCTGTACGCCCCAGCAGAGGCGCCGTCCTGCCCCGCGCAGCCTGAGCGGTCCCAGAGCGCGAGCGCCGACACAGGTGCATCGGCCTGCAGGGCCCTGGAGGCGGACTCAGTGCCCGAGAGGAAGTCAGAGGCACACCATCACCACCGGCATGGACTGTGGCCTGCTGAAGCAGATGAAGGAGCTGCAGCAGGAGAAGGAGGTGCTGCTGCAGGGTTTGGAGATGATGGCAGAGACGCGACTGGTACCAGCAGCAGCTACGAGTGCAGGAGTGCCAGTGCTGCCTGGGTCAGAGCACAGACAGCGCCGACTTTGGGGCTGCAGGGAGCCCCCGCCCACTGGGGCGGCTACTGCCCAAGGTACAGGAGGTGGCTCAGTGCCTGGGAGAGCTGCTGGCTGCGGCCTGTGCCAGCTGGGCCCTGCCTACGTCCTCCTCCGGGCCCCTCCGCCCTGCCCTGACATCCACCTCGTCCCCGGGCTGACAGCAGCAGACTATCCTTATGCTGAAGGAGCAGAACCGACGCCTTACCCGGGAGGTGACCGAGGAGAGTGGGCACATCATGCAGTTGGAGCAGGAGAAGTCGGCTTAAGCAGCTGTTTGAGGCCCACGCCCTCAGCCAGCAGGATGTGGGGGGACCTCTGGACTCCACCTTCATCTAGCCCGTGTGGGCTGAGCAGACCCCCAGGGCAGACCTGGCGCTCAGCCTTCAGGGCGGGCGCCCCGTCGCACCCTGGCTCTGACTGGAGAGCCCCTGCAGGCCCAGGCAGTCCCGGAGTGCGGGCGCCTTCCTGCCCCACTTGCCATCCAGGCTCCCCAGGCTTGCCTCCGGCTGGTCTCCGCACCGAGCCCTCGACTCGGTTTTGGCTCCTGATGCTGACATACACTGGGGCTCTCTTGAGTCCGCATGGTCCGCAGTTACTACTGCCGCTGTCAGGGGACAGTGGGGGACTCCTCCACGAGTTACCGCCTCCCCGTTTCCAGCGGTGCTGCCCTGGGTCCCATCTCCAGGAAAGGCAAGGCTCACGCCAGGCTGCACTTCCGACAACGGCCAGCAGAGGGGGGCTGGGCGGCTCCGATGCGGCGCTGAGGCTGCACCCGAGACCAGGGGTGCAAGGGCAGCTTCCTTCCCTCAACCAGGGCACCAGGACAAGGTGGCTGTCGCTAAGACAGGGGCAGATGGAGGGGGTGGGGATGGCCTCTAAGCGGGGGGTGCCCGCCTGGCAGCGGAGCCCCAGGGATGGCGGTCAGACTTCGGGTCCCGGCCAAGGCTGAGGGACTGGCTGCAGCGGATCGGGGAGCCAGGCAGGCGACAGCTTAGCCTGCATATGCCTCCCGCAGACCCCGGGGTGATAGCCTTCCTCATCCTGGCCAGGAGGCTGCCCCCCGTTGAGTCTCACAGAACAACCTGTGAGCCTGGCTCCTCAGGAGGGGGTTCAGCCTGGGCCCCCAGGCACGTCCTAGGCAGAACCTGTGCCCCCAACTCAGGATTCCCAAGGTCTGGGGTCCTGCTCACCCCCCCGCCCCATTTCCTCCCACACCCAGCCTGGCCCTAGGTTTCAGCAGGGAGAGGCCACTTTCCTCAGCCAAGAAAAACGAGAACCCCCAGGGTATAAGAGGAGGCTTGGGTAAGTCCCCTTGGGCGTCACTCCCTGCCCCCCTGCCTAGGCCCACTCCTGTTGGTGCTGGGGTACGCACTGGTGGGAGGCCCTGCTCAGCCCATCCTGGAGGGTCCCAGTGCCACCAGAGCCAGGTGCATGGCAACATCATGGATAGGTTCTGCAGCCCAGGGCCCCCCAATGCAGGGTCAGTGTGTGTGGGGTGGGGTGCAGGGACCCCTCGTGCCCAGGGCACTTTGGTGCACTGTCCCACAAAGCACCCCTGTCTCAGAGGAGGTGTTCTGGCAGGCAGCATGGCAACTCCCTTCCAGAACCCAGCTCCACGTTAACCCGCCCACAGCAACCCCTCAGAGCCACATCCCCTGCTGCACCTCGCCTGCAGGGGTGTCCCAGGACAGGCCCAAACCAGCCCAGCGTGCAACTGCCCTCCTACCCTGAGGATGGGAGTGAGCTTTCCAGGGGACATAAGGACTCCAGGCCTGGACCTCCTGGGAGGGTAAGGGAGTAGGTCCTGAAGGCCTGTGCCCCACAGCCCCAGCACCAGGTGGACTGCAGCGCAGTGGGTGGACCAGCGGCAGCCTGGGAGAAGTCACCACCACCCCACCCCCATCAGCAGGCTGCAGTCAGACCATTAGGGCCTCCCCACATCTGCCTTTGAGGGTGCCTGTCATGCCCTGGAAGATCCTAGCATCTTTACAGGACTGGAAGCAGGAGACAGAACGGTGTCTGCCCCAGGCTCGCAGATGGTTTGAATGGTAAGACAGGGTTTTACTGGGTGAAAAGGAGGAAAATGGGGAAACGGGGACTCTCACAAGGTCGAAGTCCCTGCTAGAGTGCTTTCCGCCAGCAGCTAGAATCCCAGGTTCTACACAGAAAGAAGAGGGGCCAGGCTCCCCGCTGCTACAAAAGGCTGCGCAACTTCCCGAAGCTCCACCCCAGTGCACAGGCCGGTTGGAGTTTTTCCAGGGACCCCTTCCCACCTAGCAGTCTCACCATGACCATCTCACTCTTTTTGCTATATCTACATAGTCTTAAATAGATTTAATACATGTTTTGATAATTTACATATTTTATGGACATTTCTATTTATCTAACCCACTGACTCATTTTTGGTGGCTTTATAACATTCCATTACATTAACTGACTTATTCGACTCTTCTCTACCACTGTGTATTTGAGTTGCTTCCCCTCTTTCATTGTTGTGCATCATAGCTATCTTCTTTTGGGTTACTTCTCTGTGATACATTTCCAAAAGTGGCATTAACCGCTTAATAAGAATAAATAACGTTATAACTCTAAGCATCTATTGCTACTCACACTCCTCAGAAACTCAGTGCACACTGTCATTAACCACGTGTATGTGCTTATTTCCCTATGGCCCTGACAACATTGGGCTTGATGATTTTCATTTGGTTTTACTGATTTTATAGGTGTAATATATGTATTTATTCCTCACTCTCTGCCAAAGAACATTTAAAGTCTATTTAAAAGATAAATGCAATTCAGCACAACAGCACAAAATTTACTATATTTTCTATAGTAACATCTATTACTACAGAAAATATAGTAAATACAGATAGGTATTAAACAATTTTTTAAAATTTTAAACAATAGGCCAGGTGCAGCAGCTCACCCTCTAATCCCAGCACTTTGGGGAGCCGAGGCAGGCGGTTCACCTGAAGTCAGGAGTTCATAGGCAAGCCTGGCCAACATGGTAAAACTCTGTCTCTACTAAAAATACAAAAAATAGCCAGGCGTGGTGGCATGCACCTGTAATCCCAGCACTCAGGAGACTGAGGCAGCAGAATCGCTTGAACCCGGTAGGTGGAGGTTGCAGTGAGCCGAGCTCGTGCCATTGCACTCCAGCCTGGGGGACAAGAGCGAGACTTCATCTCAAAAAAAAAAAAAAAAAAATTTAAACAGTAAGTAAACAAAAACAAACAAACAAAAGAAACATGGAGAGACCCCAAAAGCAGAGCCACAGATGACAAGACAGAAATGTTTTCCTGGAAGATGTCTAAATTAGTCAAGAGTCAGCCCATACATCTGCCTCTAACTAAACTTTTTAGCAATCATCACTAAGATGAAAACAGTTACATAATTCAGGGTTCAAAAGACGAAAGCAAACGAATTCTTCAGGTGAAATTCTGACACCAAAATCAAAAATTTCTCCCAAGGGTTCTCACAAGGATGTCACAGTAGAAGAGCATGAATAAGGCCGAGAACAAACCCCTGGGACCGGCTGTCACAGACCTCATCTACATAGGCCATTGACATCACACGCCAAGGGCCAATACATCCTGTGGAAGCCTGCAGCAGTCTGACAGTCTGGCTTAAGTCTAAAAGGATGGCAGGACTCTCGGGGTCGCGGGCAGTCACCTCGTTCCCTCAGTGAAAAAGGCCAAAAGCACTCACGGCACTTTGTGATCACCGTGACTGCAGCCCTTGTTACTGTCGACTACTTACCCATATCCATGCCATTTGTTGAATTAAAATTGATCCCTCGTCTATAAAGGCCTAAGTACACCGGGCGCGGTGGCTCACGCCTAGAATTCCAGCACTTTGGGAGGCCGAGGCAGGCCGATCACAAGGTCAGGAGATTGAGACCATCCTGGCTAATACGGAGAAATCTTGTCTCTACAACAAAATACAAAAAATTAGCCGGGCATGGTGGCACGCGCCTGTAGTCCCAGCTACTCGGGAGGCTGAGGCAGGAGAATAGCTTGAACCTGGGAGGCAGAGGTTGCAGTGAGCTGAGACTGCACCAATGCACTCCAGCCTGCGCAACAGAGTGAGACGCCATATCAAAAAAAAAAAAAAAAACCAAAGCGTAGGTACTACCTTTAGTGAAGTTTACATATTTCACTATATTAAGCTCATTTATATTCATGACTTCCCACTGTTGCCTTCCACTTTATCTGAGTTTTATTTTTTATTGCACAGACTTTTAAAAAGTTAATACAATTAAGCCTTTTACCTGGTCATTAAAAACAATTCTTTTGGCCAGGCGCGGTGGCTCACACCTGTAACCCCAGCACTTTGGGAGGCTGAGGCGGGTGGATCACCTGAGGTCAGGAGCTTTGAGACCAGCCTGGCCAACGGGGTGAAACCCCATCTCTAATAAAAGTACAAAAAGTAGCCGGGTGTGGTGGTGGGCACCTGTAGTCCTGGCTACTTGGGAGGCTGAGGCAGGATAATTTCTTGAACCCGGGAGGCAGAGGTTACAGTGAGCCAAGATGGCACCATTGCAATCCAGCCTGGGCAACAGAGTAAGACTTCATCTCAAAAAAACAAAACAAAACAGAACAAAAACAAAAACCAATTTTTTTTAAGTTTTTAATTTTCTCTCTTTAGTTTTAAAAAATATACAGAGACAAGGTCTCACTATGTTGCCCAGGCCGGTGTCAAACTCCTGGGCTCAAGTGATCCTTCTGCCTTCACTTCCCAAAGTGCTAGAATTACAGGTGTTAGCCACTGCACCAGGGCAAAACAATTTTTTGAAAGTTCAATTTTAGCTCCTCTCCACAGCTGAAATACATGTTTTAATCTACCTCTCCCCCTCCAGAGTCTGGCTCTCTCACACAGGCTGGAGCGCAGTGAGTGGAGTGAGCTCACTGCAACCTCTGCCTCCCAGGTTCAAGCAATTATCCTGCCTCAGCCTCCCAGCTAGCTGGGATTACAGGCGTGAACCACCACGCCCAGCTAATTTTTGTGTTTTTGTTTTTTGAGATAGTCTCGTTGTCGCCCAGGCTGGAGTGCAATGGTGGGATCTCAGCTCACTGCAACCTCTGCCTCCTGGATCAAGTGATTCTCCTGCCTCAACCTTCTGAGCAGCTAGGACTTGCCGCCACGCCTGGCTAACTTTTGTATTTTTAGAGACAGGATTTCACCATGCTGGCCAGGCTGGTCTTGAACTCCTGGCCTCCAGTAATCCAGCTGTCTCGGCCTCCCAAAGCTCTGGGATTAAAGGCATGAGCCACCACACCCAGCCTATATCCTAATCTACTTTCTTCTCAATTTTTTCATGTTTAGCTCTTTGATTTGGCTGGAATGTAAGGTGCATGGTACGAAACACATAACTAAAATAAACTCTATACAGGAATCTGTCAGCAGCAGCAGTTAGTAAAGTGCGATCTTGTTCCCCCTCCTCCTCCCAGTTGTCATATAAATTGCTCCTCATAAATTAAATCTATTTCTGAAATCTCTGGTTTATTTCACTGTTCTGTATTTTCATTTTTTACCCAAATCTCATCTAGGTGTGATGACTTTCATTTTAGAATATATTTAAAAGTCTGCTGGATTTAGAAGCCTCCCCACTTCACAAATTCTTGCTTTTTACCGCTCACCAAAAAAAAACATATAGTATATTTGTTTCATTGTTTTTCTAGAATAAATAATGTAACATTTTGTAATTTAAATGATATTTTAAGTATTTATACTGACCTGCAAAGTATTTTTCTTTTTCTTTCTTTTTTTTTTTTTGAGATGGAGTCTCGCTGTCACCCCAGCTGGAGTGCAGTGGCATGATCTCAGCTTACTGAAACCTCTGCCTCCCGAGTTCAAGCGATTCTCCTGCCTCAGCCTCCTGAGTAGCCGGGACTATAGGTGTCCTCCACCATGCCTGGCTAATTTTTATGTTTTTAGTAGACACAGGGTTTCACCACATTGGCCAGGCTGGTCTCGAACTCCTGACCCCAAGTGATCCGCCCACCTCAGCCTCCCAAAGAGCCAGGATCACAGGTGTGAGGCACCATGCCCCGCCACCATCAAACTGTCTTTTAATTCTTTAGATGAACTTCTAATTTGCTACATTAAATTCTCAATATTTAACATTATTGCTGTTGTCTTTAAAAATTATTATTTAAAAAAATATGCTAGGCTGTTTAATTTTCTTATCACTAGTATGTACACTGTAAGTAAATTTTTTAGACTTATCTTGCCATGTTGCTGTATTTGTACTTTTATTACTGTTCTGTTTTCCCTTGGATTTTCCTAAGATTATTTTTTCATGGATTTCCCAAAAATTACACTTGCATTCATTCTAAAAGCACTCATTACATGATGAGTAGAACTCAAGCCACTGTACCAATTATACAAAAAGGACAAGAAAATGCTCAGACGGCTTTCAATTTACATGGGAAGACTGAATGCAATCATTATTAATATTCTACAATTACAAACAAGAAGGACAAAGTACCGTGGGGCACACTGTAAGTCTCACTTTTTCTTACTGGAGCTGTCTCCTTCTCTAGATCGGTTCGGTGGTAGCAGCAGTAAGTGTGCTTATTTTATACTAACGCCTGTGGTGAGACGATGGTGACTAGATCTTTCTAGCAATGCTCGCGAGAAAAGTTGTTACCTTCCTGCTCTGCGGTGTGAACCCAAGTAGATCCAGAACTACTCTATGAGAAAAGTCCTGATGCTACCCACCCTACCCCCACAGTTGACTGAAAGCAGGATGGGCCTCGATCTGAGCATGCTCCGTAGGTCAAATGCATGGGTTTTTATTACCACCACCCCACACCTCTATTTCCAGTTCTCCAAGGAGACTTCCATCTAGCCCTCACCTATGAATTGATGAAATATATTTACATTATACATTCTCTAAGTTTCATTTCTGTACTAAACTAGATCACCAGACAAATATATCCATGGACTACACTTTAGATCTGCTGGCGATATTTTTTCAGAGAACTAGTTTTAGTTTTAAGCTTGGGCTTTTTTTATATTTTTAGACAAGAGTCTTGATGTGTTACCTAGGCTGGAGTGCAGTGGTGCCATCTTGGCTTACTGCAACTTCTGCTTCTCAGGTTCAAGTGCTTCAGCCTCCCTTGTAGCTGGGATTACAAGTGAATACCATCGCACCGGCTAATTTTTGTATTCTTAGTGGAGACGGGATTTTGCCATGTTGAACAGTCTGGTCTCAAATTCAAAGCCTCAAGTGATCCTCTCGCCTTGGCCTCCCAAAGTGCTGTGATTATAGGCATGAGCCACCACGCCCAGCCTATGCCTTGACTTCTATGTAGGTAATCACAGTAGTAGCTACATTAAGAACATGTTTATGAACTCCAAGTACCATCAAATTATGACCCTGTTCTCTCAATCTTATTTTAAATTCATTTTGTAAACCTCAAATCCTTTCAATAAGCAGAATGGGTCTATATAACAAAAGGACTACTATTACGGAGTGTGAGGATTTTTCTTCTTTTTTTTTTTTTTTTTTGGAGACAGAGTTTCACTCTTCTTGCCCAGGCTAGAGTGCAATGATGTGATCTTAGCTACTGCAATCACCACCTCCTGGGTTCAAGCAATTCTCCTGCCTCGGCCTCCTGAGTAGCTGGGAGTACAGGTGCCTGTCGCCACGCCTGGCTAATTTCTGTGTTTTTAGTAAAGACGGGGTTTCACCATGTTGGCCAGGCTGGTCTTTAACTCCTGACCTCAGGTGATCTGCCCACCTCAGCCTCCCAAAGTGCTGGGATGACAGGTGTGAGCCATCACGGCCAGCAAAAAATGAGCTTTTGGTTTTTTTTTACTATTAAGACCTCAAGTCTAACTTTAATACAGGAGATAACATTTTAACTGATATTTGAATTTTCTTTTATGGTGCTATAATTTAACTTGTTATTGTTTTATTTATTTTTCTTTAGAAATGGCATTTCACTACATTGCCCAGGATGGAGTATAGTAGCTATTCACAGACTTAATTATAGCTCACTGCAGCCTCACATTACTGGGCTCAAGCAATCCTCCTGCCTCAGCCTCCTCCTGGGTAGTGGGGACTACAGGTACACACTGCATGCCCAAATCTGTCCTTTTAGTTCATGTATTTTCTGCAAAAGCTTATCCATTCATTTAATCTTCTTAGGTAGTTTACACATGGTTTTACACCTTTCATTTGCACCAAATTTTAGCACTTAACTTAGAACAAACCATATTCATTGTTGTGATTATTATTACAGGTTTGAGCATTCCTAACCCAAAAATCAAAAATCCGAAATGCTCTAAAATCCCAAATTTTTCAGTGGCGACATGACACCACAAGTGGGAAATTCCACACCTGGCCTCATGTGATGGGCTGTAGCCAAAACTGTTACATGCACAAAACTGCTTAAAATGTGGTATAATATTACCTTCAGGCTATGTATGTAAGTTATATATACAACAAATGAATTCTGTGTTTGGACTTGGGTCCCAGTCCCAAGTTATCTTATATATGTGTAAATATTCCAAAATCTGGGAAAACCACAAAAATCTGAAACACTTCTGGTCCCAAGGCTTTCGGATAAGGGATACTCAACCTGTAGTGCTTGCTTCCAACTAGAAACTCTCTGAGTTCCTTTTAGAGACCCGAGTGGCCTGTCTTACTGGTGTCAAGGGATCACGTTCTCCTCCCCCAGCTCCGTACAACCCCTATAATTTTACAGTACAATACAGAAAACTCCTTTTCCATTTCTACCACAGTTTATGCTCCAGTATTTATTTCATAATGTAAAAGAACTCCCCTGCCACTCTGTCTCTCGTCCCGCTTTCCATTCTTGTAGGACTTACACTATGTTACAGATCTGTTTATTGTCCATTTCCCCCACTAAAATGTTAGCTCC